TATATTTTATTTAATATATATATATATATATATATATATATATATGTTAAACAAACATTGAAAAATATATATTCAATATATTAGTTACAAAAATATATAATAAAAAATATTTTGTATTTAAATATTATTTATTGAAGTGAATAATAATATAGATATTTTTTTCTTTTTTATTGAATATAAACTTTTTCTCTCTCTTTCAATAACCTAACAATATAGAATGTATATCAAAAGATAAATATAGATTTTATTTTAAAAATATATTTAAAATATTTTTTGTATGATAAACAAATAATTTTTAACTAAATTTATATTTATTAGTTTTTTTTAAGTTGTTTCATTGTTAATGTAATCAATATAATAATAATGTAATTTTTTATTTACAAAAATCATATAAAAAACTTGAAAGATAAAAAATATTAGGTTGTATGAAATTTTCGGAGAAAATAACAAGTTATTGTTATAACTTACATCATTTAAAAGTGAATAATTATTGTTATTTATTTAAAAAATAATATAAAAGTATTTAACATAAAAAGCTAAATATAAAATTAAATTAATTTAATTAGTACGAATGAGTATTGACAATACTTTATAAAATGAATTAAAAAAATAATATAGAGATATAAGATATGTCAATAAAAAATATATTTCAATTGAATATATCTACTTTATAGATTATTAGAAAATTTTCTTTATTCCTATTCTAATTAAGTTTACCTAATATAAAAAATTATTATATAAAAAGTCATCATTAATTTTTTTACTTAATTATTCTTTGAAAAAATAATAAAAACCTTTAATAGCACCTCTTAACCAATTATTTAAAAATAACATAATTCAATAAAAATTAAAAATAAATTGATCAAATTAAATAATATGTTTTTATTAAATATAAAATTCAATAATTTCAATTAATTTAAAATATTATTATATTTCATCTTATTTATTCGTTAAAAATAAAAATAAGTTAACTTAATAATAATGAATAACATTATTAATAATTAATTTTGTCCCAAAAATATGGTTAAAAGTTGAATCCAAAATGTTGTTATTTTTATATTATTTAAATAACTTTTCCAATTTTAATATTAAAATTGTTAACTTGATTAAATATAAAAATAAGGTAAAAGATGTTTTTTCTTATTTATTGAAATAAATTTTGAATTTAAGAATTACAAATAATATGATTTATTAAAGATATAAAACTATGTTAAACTCAAAACCATCTATACTTTGGTAATTAGTTTTAAGTTTTATAATTGTCAAGGTTTCAAATAACAACATCAACATTTTTAGTTTATTTATTTAAATAATTGATTTTATAACTAATTATTTATGATATACATTTTATATATTTTTAATGAAATTATAATAATTTTTAATTTAATCATCATTTTAAAATTATATATATATATATATATATATATATATATATATATATATATATATATATATATATATATATATATATATATGTGAATTACAATGATAATTTTTAATTTAATCATTAATGTGTATTATTGGTGATAAACATATTATTATTGTCAAATTTAATAAGATTACATTGATGATTTTTAATTTAATCACTAATATAATCGTATTTGTGATAAATTAAAAATTTGTTACAAATAATATATATATATATATATATATAAATAAATATATTGTTATTGTCACTTTTAATAAGATTATGATAATTTTTAATTTCGCCACTAATATAATAGTATTTATGATAAATTAAAAATTTATTACAAATTATATATATATAGTGACAAATTTGTCACTAAAAATTATATTTATTGTAGTGAGCCATTGTAACCAGAATCATTCTCAATCAAGTATAAAATTATAAAATAGGATCTCGAGTAATCATTATAAAATAGTGTCATTGCTAGGGAATTTGGTATCTGTTTCCTGTAGTGTGTTGATGGATTCACACATAAAAAGTCCTTGAAATTCCAACAAGTATAATACATGTCATGATACAAATGTTGACTGTCAAAAAAACATGGCGACAATATTTTGTATGCAGAATCATCGTTTAAGGATTTGAAGTCAATGGTTCTGTAGTGAGGAGTCATACAGGAGTTTCTCAGTTTTGGGGGCGGACTCAAAGTGATTTTTTGCGAATTGTGGTTGAGAAATGAGTTCACACGCATTTGAAGCGCAACACAGTCCCAACTTTCGACTTGTAAAGAATTTCAAGGATCAAATCATCTGCATTAGAAAAAAAAAAATCTCTATAACACACCACCAACCACAAGTAACATATTCTGTGTGATGGAAAAAAAGAAGAAAAGAAACCCTTCATTACAAATCAATACTTGTAAGCCTGAGTATAGAGGGTCAATATTGGGGTGGTGATATTCATCCAAGGGTAAATGTGCCGTGCAGAGGTGACATTGTCATTGGCGGACAAAGATGCTGAATCAAAAGTATAACTTCTGGAATACAATAATATAAAATGGTAATGATGGAGATAAAAGATACTTAGAGGAAGTGTACTCTTAAAGGTCTTTAGGTAGGAAACATAGTTATATGGCCATCAGTTATCACTGCATATCAATACATAACATCAAAATTGTGTATATAGTGATGACTCATAATCGTTAGCAACCTTTGTCACCTCCAAAGCCTTTAATAGCATTCATATTCATCATTATAACTTTTGAAATAGAATGTTCCCTCAGTGCTAGCTACTGGAGCAACTATGCATTACTTGTTAATTTTATAAAACGATATTAATAAAGGCAAAATATGCACATAGAAGGAAATATACTGTTGTTGCAAAAGTAGTTATGTGACCATCAATTCACAACTAACTTTGCGGCATAAAACATTTTATTACAACCAGTAATATACGTCAATATTGAGATTTTTGTGTTGTGATAGGTCATGATAATGTATAACCACTTTTGTTGCCTCCAAGCCTTTAACAATACTCCTTCCATGTATGTATCTTTCCCTCCACCAGTACAATTCTAATTTTGCATTTAAGGTGATTAAAGTTATTATAAACCTTAATATTGGGTTTCTTTGACGATTTCAGCATGATTTTATAGTTTTTGCACAAAAAAGTTTTAATTTTGAATTTTTTTTTTCATTTACAGTAATTAGGGTTATTAAAAACCCTGAAATTGGGTTTATTTTACAATTTCAACAAGATTGTGAAAATTAGGATTATTTTCCAACCCTAAAATTGGTTCATACAGGTTCCTTTTGTCCATGTTATTTACGGGTTAGATTTCAAAATTGTCCAACTTTTATTGTGTTTTGCTTATATCTAAAGTTTTTCTCTTCAAAAGTTTGCAATTTTGAAGTAAATTACTAGGGTAATTACGAACCCTAATATTCGGTTTCTTTAGTGATTTCAACCCTAATATCTGCTTTACCTCTATTTTTTTTTCTCTATTTTATAGCTATTTCAGTGTCTTATGTTATGAAAAAAAAAATGTGAGTTTCAAAAGTAAGGTAATTGTTTTTTTTTCTTGTGTTTCACTTCTATCTAAAGTTTTTTGCTTCAAAATTTATAATTTTGAAGTTATTATTGCATTCAAGGTGATTAGGGTTATTATGCAAGCTCAACAAAACATTAATTGAATGCAATATATCTGAATAAATATACTTTTTTTTATCAAAATAGACGACGATGTTTTCATTTACCATTTATGTTCCACTTGCTTTACCTATGTTCTTTCCCTGTTTCATAGCTATTTCATTATTATATGTAATGGGCTACTACTGTGGCGTTTTTTTTTATTAATTATTTTTTAACAACAGTAGCACATAAAATTAAAATATTTTATATTTATAAAAGTAATTTACATTACTATTTTTTTACAGAATATATATGAATATATATATGAAAGAAGAAAGAATTTTATTTATTTATTTTTTCCTTCTATTTTTCCTATTTATATAAATATTTACATTGTCGGTGAAAACAAACTAATTAAGGGGTTTTGGTAAACGATAGGAGGCATGCAAAAGGTAAGCACTATTGGTTTATCTAGCATGATGGAAGTTCTCATATCAGATGTAAATGTTAATATTGATAACCCTATCCCTTTAAAAGTAACCGAGTTGTCAATAACGTTTGTCTTCCAAGTGGTTCGTGGAAAGAAGGCAGTGATGTTTGCAGAAAAGAGATTTTGGATATTTGACGTCTTCATCTACTTAAGTTGATATTTAAATATAACTTGCATAAAAGATTCCAATAAGGAATATATATATATATATATATATATATATATATATATATATATGGAAGAATAACTCTTTTTTTATATGGAAGATTAGATTAACCGCAATTACAGAGCATACTAAAAATTTTCTCCAACACTATTCTAATGACTATGCAGTAGAAGACCAATATCGCAATCATGTGACTCCGATACCATTGTTAGGTATCGAGACAAAAACATAAGTACACACAACTAAAATAAAAAAAATAAGAAAAACACCGATAATATACAAAAGAGTAATTATACTAATAATATAAATTACAATTATTTTCTCTCTATTTCCAAAGAGGAAATAATAATATTCTCTCATTAAAATAAAGAAAAAACAACTCTAAGAAAGTTTAAAAGGAAAAACTATTTTTCTTTTTTAATTTATCTTTCAATTACTAAAACAACAAGAAAAAAAAAGAAATAATTTTAGTATATTTTACAAAATAAACATTATATTTTTTATAGTAAAAATAATAAATACCAAACTAAGATTTTGCTAAGGTGAAACTTTTTTTCTCCAACAAGATCAGAGCCCTAAATCATAGATTGACCCTCATTGTTCCTACAGGTCAGAGCCCTAATTCATCAACCACGGCCATATCATTGTTAGGAAATCTGCTACTATAAAATAAACAAAATCATATATAAAAATGAAACTAATTAGACAAAGAAGTGAAATAATCAGAAATATTTTGAGCCATAAACATACTCATTTATTAATACAGGTTGTGCCAGTCACAACCTTAAATCAAACATCTTTATTCACTAGACTCCTTGGTTCAACGAATTACAAGGGCAGACGCATACGTGTGCTGTCCTGTAACAATACGCCCACTTGCACTGACAATGCAACCTGCACTCACGGTTCCTTTTACAAGGCATCAAGTCGCCTTCTTTGGTCTCATCACATGTGCAGTACCCATCATTACAAATTACGCTTCCTTTGCAGCCAGGTAAAATCCACTTGCAGTGATTATGTGAATTGCATTTTTTAAGAGCTGTCATTCTTGGTATGCTGCTGAAACCATCTCCTGCAAAAAAGATATACAATTCAATGTTATTTCCTTCTTAGAAATGTAAATGTGTTTTCATAAACTCAAACTGAAGGTTTTCAAGAATAATACCAGTGAAAGCTGTTAAAGCAAGAAGGACTGCTGCAAAAACTATCTTGACTAAAGTCATCCTTGTGCTTTGTTTTAGTGTGGTCTTGTCAACTATGTTTTCGGATAATGCTTCCTCATACACATTTATAGTACTAAATCCTTTGAATGAAGACAATGGAATTATGTCTCACCTCATAAATGAATTTTGGTTGTCTTGTCACAGTTGACCAATTTCATTTATATTTATTAAATATTTCATTTAAGTTCATCAAATGCTACATCTGACCTTTTTTTTACGTTACATTAGGCTGAAAGATATTTACACAAGAAAATAGGGATAGAAACAAAAATTATTTTAGATGAAAAAATTAAATTAGATAATATATATATATATATATATATATATTAAAATTAGTTATAATATAAAAATATATTATATAAAATTATAAATAATTTATATATATTTAATATTGACGATATATAAATAAAATTAAGTATGTTTTCACTACTAGAAAAATCATTTTAGCAACCAAAAAAATCGGTCGCTATTATAAAAAAATCGGTCGCTAATCGGTTAGCGACCGAAAGGCGTCGTCGCAAAAAGCCCCGTCGGTAATGTGTTAGAGACCGATTTTCATTTCGGTCGCAAAATAACGATCGATTTTATTTCGGTCGCAAAATAGCGACCGAAATTAATATATTAAATTAGTCGCTAAATCGGTGGCAAAGTTAAAAAAATAGCGACCGGTTTAAATCGGTCGCTAAATCGGTGGCAAAATTAAAAAAATAGCGACCGATTTAAATCGGTCGCTAAATCAATGAATAAATTAATAAAATAGCGACCGATTTAAATTGATCGCTATATCAATAACAAAGTTAATTATTTTTATTTATATTTATTTATTTACAACCCCTTTCTATTTATCTAGAAACTCCCCTACCTCCTTTTATATACAAATAAATGTATATATGTATAAATATATATAAATATAAAATCTATAAATACAAATATATTTACATATTTTAATATATATTTAAATATTTATATATTTAAATATTTAAAAATTTATATGTTTATATATTCATATGTTCATATATTCATACATTTATACATTTATACATTTATACATTTATATATTTATACATTTATACATTTATATATTTATATATTTATATATATATATATATATATATATATATTAATATATTGATATATTGATATATTAATATATTGATATATTAATATATTAATATATTAATATATTAATATATTAATATATTAATATATTTATATATTTATATATTTATATATTTATATATTTATATATTTATATATTTATATATTTATATATTTATATATTTATATATTTATATATTTATATATTTATATATTTATATATTTATATATTTATATATTTATATATTTATATATTTATTTATATCTTTATACATTTATATATTTAAGAAAAAATTAAAAATTTAAATATTATATTTTAAAGTAATATTATATTTTTAAAAATAAATATTAGAAAAAAGTTTAAAAATATATATAAATTATATTTACATGTACAAAATATTAAAGATATATATTTATATCTTTATATATTTATATATTTATATCTTTATATCTTTATATCTTTATATATTTACATGTACAAAATATTAAAGATATATATTTATATCTTTACATATTTATATATTTATATCTTCATATATTTATATTTTTATATCTTTACATATATTTATATCTTTACATATTTATATATTTATATATTTATATATTTATATATAAAGATATAAAGATATTAGTTTTGTATACAAATAATATTATAGTATAGTATATTATACTATTAGTATATTCTACAAATTATATATTAGTATAATATACAAATTATATATTAGTATAGTATAGTATACAAAGTATTAGTTTTGTAATTTATACACAATGAAAATAATATAATGGTATATTAGTATAGAATAGAATATTTGTATTCTAATTTTTAATTAAATTAAAATTACGCATAATAATATATGAGGGGATAATAAATTTAATCCAATTACTTTTATAAATATATAAATATAAAATCTATAAATACAAATATATTTATATATTTTAATATATATTTAAATATTCATATATTTATATTTATATATTTATATATTTATATATTGATATATTTATATATTGATATATTGATATATTGACATATTTATATATTTATATATTTATATATTTATTTATATCTTTATACATTTATATCTTTATACATTTATATATTTATATCTTTACATCTTTACATATATTTATATGTTTATATCTTTACATATATTTATATCTTTATATCTTTATATATTTATATATTTATAAAATCTATATATACAAATATATTTATATATTTTAATATATATTTAAATATTGATATATTGATATATTTATATATTTACATATTTATATATTTATATATTTATATATTTATGTATTTACATATTTATATATTTATATATTTACATGTTATATATTTATATATTTACATATTTATATATTTATGTATTTACATATTTATATATTTACATATTTATATATTTATATATTTATATATTTACATATTTATATATTTATATATTTATATATTTATATATTTATATATTTATATATTTATATATTTATATATTTATATATTTATATATTTATATATTTATATATTTATATATTTATTTATATCTTTATACATTTATATATTTAAGAAAAAATTAAAAATTTAAATATTAAATTTTAAAATAATATTTTATTTTTAAAAACAAATATTAGAAAAAGGTTTAAAAATATATATAAATTATTTTTACATGTACAAAATATTAAAGATATATATTTATATCTTTACATATTTATATATTTATAAATTTATATTTTTATATATTTATATCTTTATATATTTATATCTTTATGTATTTATATATTTACATATTTATATATTTATATATTTATATATTTATATATTTATATATTTATTTATTCATTTATATCTTTATACATTTATATCATTATACATTTATATTTTTATATATTTAATAAAAAATGTAAAATATAAATTTATACACAATGAAAATAAATTATAAATATTATAATATAATGATATATTAGTATAGTATAATATATTTGTATTCTAATTTTTAATTAAACTAAAATTACGTTAATAATGTATAATAATATATGAGGGGATAATAAATTTAATCCAATTACTTATATATATATATATATATATATATATATATATATATATATATATATATATATATATATATCCATTTTTAACTTTGTTTTTCTTTTTAAACTTCTCACATTCTACATTATTTTTAAACTCTATCATTTTTACTATATTATCATCCTCATTTCCTCCCATATTCTATTTTATCTTTATAATAATTAGTCTTCTTTTATAGAATACTTTATTTTCTATTTTTATTATTTATTTTCTTATAATTTAAAATAATTAATATTATTTTAACATTTATTTTTATGATTTTTACTATAATAAATCAAATTAAATGGTTCGATAATATCAATTAATTAAAATCATCACATAAAAAACTTAGATAACTACATTAAAATTATTAATTTTAAAAATATAAAATATATTTAAAAAAACTTAAATTATAGATTGGAAATAAAATAGAATAAACAAATACTCTTTACTTTATATTATATTTAAGTGTGTGCATAAATGTTGACCTTCTTAACTATAAAGAAACAGTAGAAAATATAAAGATAGTATTTGAAGTAGTGAATTTTGAAGATAAAAACTATTTTTATATTAATTTATTCTAGTATATCAATTAAAAATAATAATACATAAAATTTAAAAACTAAACTAAAAAAAGTAAGTTTAAATTTATAAAAAAATACATTACTAAAAGTATCATATTATATTAAGATTTTCATTATATTTTCGTTAATTATAAATTTAAATGTGTTTCATAAATAAAATTATAAATTTAAATGTATTTTCACTTTTGATCCATCATAAATAAAAATAAATAGTCTCTTATAAATATTTTTCTATTTTAATCTATCATTAAATTTGTTTTATATACGAATTTGATGACTTATCATATTATTAAAAATTTGGATGAAATAATTATGTATAATATATTTTTAGTATATTATGTTTTTAAATTTGCTAATAGAGAAAAAGTTTCAGAATTTAAAATGTTAAATACTTTTAAATATTAAAATTGACTTTATAAAAAATTAGGAAAAAAACAATTAATCCAAAAATATAATAATGATAAAAATATTATAAAAAAGAGTTCAAAAATGTATTTAATATTTTCAGTTTTAGTTTAATTATATTTTTAATTCTCAAAGTAGAAAAATATATTGTAATTATTTTAATTTAATAAAAATATAATTAAAAAATGTATTAAATAATAATAAATTTAATTCTTTAAATTTAGTATTTAAAAACTAAAATTATAGTTTCTCTGTTTTAAAAAATTAAAATAAATATTTAAAAATAAAAATAAAAACTAGTATTATCTTAAATTTATTAAAAATATAATTATATCTCTATTTTCTTATGCAATTTTAGAAATTTTTTAATAAAAATCCAATATAGAAAAAAGTTAAAATTTTAAAAAGGTAAAACCTTAATTTATATTAACTATTTTTTTGAAAAAACTGACAAGAAAAACTTGGCTTTGAAAAATAAAAGTTAATAATTTTGAAGTTATTTGAGTGATGAATTTTCCAAATGTGATCTATAAATTTATTGAGCAAAATTGGAGGTAGGTTGAATATAAATTTAAATATATTTTTAATTTATTTAAATATGGTTTATTTTTAGTATTTATAAAATAGATTAATTTTAAATTTTTAACTTTTCTAGCAGTTTATTTTTAATCTTTGTTATTAATTATGTTAAAAATGAAAAATATTAATTAGTATACTTAAACTAAAAAATATTTTAACTAAAGATAAATATATTTTTATTAATAATTTAATTAAATAATATATTTATTATCTAATGTATATTGATATAATTTTTTTTGGTATATCAATTATATGACAACAACTATGGT